GGAAGTCAAGTACCCAATCAAGGTTGGCACTTAGTAGTTGTGTTATACCCATGGTCATGAAGTTTCCGTCATGTGCTCATATGCTTCCTTGTGTTATTCTATCTTTTGTTTGTATTTACCTTTGTACTTTGTCTTAGTTGCTCTTTTGATTTTCAGGGGATTAATATTTTGAAAGCTCATGGAAAAAGTGCAAGAGATAGCTATCTCTTAACTGGTTATGCACTAAACACAGGCCGTGCTGCACAAGGAATGCCACTGAGAGTTTCCCCTGCGAAGATTGCCTGTCTTGACTTTAATCTTCAGAAGACCAAAATGCAAATGGGTGTCCAAGTTTTAGTTAGTGATCCCAGGGAGCTTGAAAAGATTCGCCAAAGGTGATAAGATGATGTACCTTATTTTTCTTTTTAAGTTGTATATGTCATATCATTGTATATGTATATCACGCAGCCAGCTTTGCAGACCCTGTCCATAGCATGCGTTGGAGGGTATGAATACAGTTAGCATGCTGTGGTATAGAATAGGTGATTCTGCTGATATATTATGTAATCCTTTTCTCAATACTGCTAAAAAGACTTAGCTCAATTGCCCTTTAATCAGTGAAATTGATAGGCCCAAATAGAATTATGGAATTTGCTTGTGCAGATGTTAACTGCCTCAAATAGATAGGTTTGGGATTGCTTATGCTTGGGAAAGAATTTCAATCACTTTTTCTTTATTGATAGATTGTTATGTCATAAAAAGACATCTTTTGATGCTTAATTGTATGTTTGGCAATGTACTGATGGTATTTATCTCTGCAGAGAAGCTGATATGACAAAAGAGCGTATTGAGAAACTTCTGAAAGTTGGAGCAAATGTTATTCTGACCACAAAAGGGATTGACGACATGGCACTCAAGGCAAGATTCTTTTGTGATTTGTTTCTCTAACTTTTTTATTTTGAAGTACTAGATTATTAACACTCCAATAAAATATCCTGCACTCTCTCTTATTTTGTTTTTTTTTCCTAAGGAGTGCATGATGATTTTTATGGATTGCAAATAGCAGCTCCCTTATTATCATTATTTTTAAGTCTTTATATATTATGGGTTAATTTTAGCTTGGCCATATGCCTTTGGACCTGGCCAAAAATTTGAATGGCAGAACACTCACGGTTAATGTTTTTGGCAATTGTTTTTCTTTTGTAGGTTCTCTTATTTGAAATTGTGTATCATCTTTACGATATGTTACTCTTATCCTCTTCAATACGTGTTTAAGCCTATAAGATATGCTGTTGTTTAATACAGAAATGCAGAAGTTTGAGGTCTCAACATAACCATGTTATGAGACGAACTAGTAGTTGTACTCTCTTTATTTTAACTCCTTTATCGTTATTCGGCATACAATGAGCTATGAAAATACAAAATACAAATGTACTTCTATATATTTCCAGCATGGGTATATGAATGTTTATCACATGCACCAGGTGTATTAAGCTTGGCAATTGCATAAACTTTATATCCTTGATTGTAATTTCAGTATTTTGTGGAGGCTGGGGCTATTGCTGTCAGACGTGTTCAGAAAGAAGATATGCGCCATGTTGCTAAGGCTACAGGTGCAACAATGGTAATATTCTTCATGTGCTTCTCTAATAATATAATTGTCTAGCAGATTAATTTTCATTTGGATTTATTTTGGAGTTCAGCTATCACTTGTGTTCAATGGAAATAGTTTCTTTTGCAATACTATTTTCTTTTGGAATCATCATGTGTCATGTCCTGATCATCAGCCTATAAATTGAAAACAATACATAAATATACAAAAACAAAAGTGTGAAGAAGCTAAATGTAAATTTTCGGTGGAATACTTGAAAACAATACATCAGTGAACTCTTGAAACAATACATCGGTGTAGTACTAAACAATACTTAACCGAAAGCAATCAACTTGTTCACAAATGTTGTATTTGTGTTTTTTTTTTATCAGAAAGTAGATCCATATGTTGAATAATTATGTCATCTTGGTTTTGTTTTTTATCTGTAGGTTTCAACTTTCGCTGATATGGAAGGGGAGGAAACGTTTGATACGTCACTTCTTGGATCTGCAGATGAAGTTGTGGAGGAGCGCATTTCTGATGATGATGTGATTTTGATAAAAGGAACCAAAAATAACAGTGCAGTGAGTTTAATTAATTTTTAACATTTTTCCGTGCTTGACGTTGAGTTCTAATTGCTTCAAGTTTTTGTGAAGTTTATACATTTATTATATGTAGGACATTATTTATAATCTTATGGTATGGACTGATTTTCTGAATGTATTCTTTTCAGGTGTCATTGATTCTCAGAGGTGCAAATGACTATATGCTTGATGAGATGGAAAGAGCTCTTCATGATGCTTTGTCTATTGTCAAGAGGACTCTAGAATCTAACACGGTACAATTTATTTACTACATAAGTGATAAGAAAAGGATCAGAACCATTTTAAATTTACTTTCTTCTGAACTAAATTATATTTGACGCTATTTTTTATTAATGAGGTATTTTTTTTCATGCGAAATGGGTTTTATGGTTATTTATTTGATTTGTGCAATGCAATTTTTTGGGGGAGGTGTGGAAGAACATGAAATGTATTTTTCAATGGAAATATGAAGATAAAACTGTGAAGGTTTCACCACCGAGTTTGGTGGTCGTCTTTTCATTGAGAGTTTCTTGTTATTTACATATCTAATTCATTGATGAATTTACCGTACAGGTAGTACCAGGTGGAGGTGCAGTTGAGTCTGCATTGTCTCTGTATTTGGAGGGTTTTGCTACAACATTAGGATCACGTGAGCAGTTGGCAATTGCCGAGTTTGCTGAATCTTTGTTGATTATACCAAAGGTTCTAAACATCTTATTGCAAATTGTATTTTTGTTGTGTTCTGCTATTTTTCGTATGTTAATGGTGTTTCTATTGTGACTTTTATCTGGTTTAGGTTCTTGCTGTCAATGCTGCCAAGGATTCTACAGATTTAGTTTCAATACTACGGGCCAACCACCACAGGGCACAAACCAAGGCAACAAACAGGACTGACAAGAAGGATAAGGATTATTCTAGGTATTCTGAGTATTGTCAGGGCATTCTGCCCAATTTTATATTTTTGGTTTCCACAGTCGTCATTGTTTGCGGTGTCTGTATATTGAATTCTGTGGCATTGTCATTATACTTGCTCATATGCAACAATAGACTTACAAAAGTATGCCAATATGATGACAGTGCAACTAAAATTATATTCCGTCATATGATTCTTGGGTGCATAAAATCCTTGCACATTCTGTGACTGCATACTTATGGTGAACGCTCTACTATTGTTGCAGCATGGGCTTAGACCTAGTAAAGGGGGAAGTTCGTAACAACCTAGAAGCCGGAGTCATTGAGCCTGCAATGAGTAAAGTGAAGATCATTCAGGTACCAAATCCTACATACAAATCAGTAATAATTTAGGATAATCTGTGAAGATAACCAACAGCCTTGCAATGTTTGTAAACTTGAAACTTTTTCGGTGTGGCAGTTTGCAACTGAAGCAGCTATTACAATTCTCCGAATTGATGACATGATCAGGCTAGCCAAGGATGAAAGTCAAGAGGGTTAAGTTTGAACTTTTCCTTGTCTGTTTGTTTCCGGAGCAGAATGTCAATGGTTGGGAAGTGAGTCTGTGCCCGAAGAGGACTTAACGTTCGTTGCGTGCACTAGAAGAATCAGATGGAGGATTTTGGTCATGTAGATTTGTGTGGGAATTTCAATTACTATTAAACCCTGATATTCAGGGAACGGTTTGGTCTGGTTAGAGGAAGTGGGTTTTGGGGGTGATGGAGAAATTTATTATTAACCGATGTCGGCTTTCCCATTTAACCCCCAACTTTGAAATGTCTTGTATGATTAGTAATTTATTTCAATATTTTTGTTCAGAATTTCTAGTAGATGGCCGTTGTTTCCGTCCCATTTCACCTTCACCTTCCCGCCGCCTCCCACATCTCAGATTTTCTACACAGCCATCTTTCTTGTTGATCTCAAACAGAAAATCAATCAATCCAACAAATTAAACACTTCAATACCCGATCTTCACCCCTGTCCTCCATCCCAAATCCCTGACTTCATTTCTTCACCCAACCTATAAGCCAAGAATTAATTTTTAATATGTGATATTTTTGGGTATTTTCTAAACACCCTTAAAACTCTGAATATAATTTCAACAATCCAAACCGTTCATCTTCCTGCATCGTCTAATAGATCAAGTTTTCAAAAAAGAAAATCAGAAAAAAACAAAATTTGATGAGAACAATGAAGCGTAAATGTAAACAACAATCAACGGTTAAATTTTGATCTATGATTTATATGATTATAGTGGTGAATTTCGAAGTTAAGCTCTTCATGAAAGTTGTAAAGCTTGTCATTACGAGTGTTTATATATTTTTTTTATATATTTTTACACTTCTACATTAATTAGAAAACTATTAAAGACTTTTGGTAAGTGAAAATATACTTAAAAGAAAAATGTGTTTTATGTTTTGGATGTGACAATATGATATGTATATACTTATTTAGTATTATGTTTTTCATTTGTTTATTTATTGGTTTAAAATATATTTTCTTTAACGAGTAACGGGTCGGGTCATATTACCAGTTAATATTATCGGGTCGATTTCGGGTCGGGTCATTTTACCCGTTTATTTTAACGAGTGTTACACGACATGACCCGTTAAGATATCGGGTATGACACGAAAACGACACAAACACGGAAAACACGACACGAATGCCAGGTCTAAGTGTAACCACCCCCAATCTTCGTGGTGCATGTGCTGAACAAGGATGGGCTACCATGTCCTCCGTAATTGTTTTTTGGTAGTGTAGGGGGTGACGTATGTGAAAACTATTAAAAAGAAAAGAAAAATTAATTGACAGCCGTAGGATGTGCATCAAACGGCCCATATAAAATCGGTCCGGAAGCGAGATGACCCAAGCCCCGTGTATAACACAAAGGATATGAGGATATGAGGAGCACAAACTTCATCCACAAGCTTGTTTGCTGTCAGCGGAAGAAGAGAGTGTAAGAATGGCTTGTGTAGGTGTAACCATGACCATGGCGGCATCGTTTGGTCTGAGATACTACCCATCGTGCTCTTACCCAACTCAACTCAATCACGGCTCGGTTCAACTCGGTAGGTTCAAGAGGCCCAAACCCTTGAGACTCAGTTCCTCGCAATCGCATAGCATTTCTGGGTTGGACTCGCTTCTTCCCCGCAAGCTCTGCGCTATCAATTTCACCCCTCCTCGCCGCCTTAGCTCTCTTACCATCGTCTCCGCCAAAGGCTACAAAATGAAGACCCACAAGGTATTGTTCGTCATTTTTGTTTGGTTACTGAGAAAATCTTTGGAAAATAAGCAATTTGGAATCTGGAGTTGATATTATGATTCTCTTCTTTATTGGTATAGTAGTGAATTCGAATTTGATAATAGTCCACCGAATAAATTCTTAGTGAAACCTTGAACTGTGAATTCCCCCAATCAAATCCAACTTAGGCCGTTGTTTCTTGTTGTTTAATTGTTAGCCTTGAAAATTTTATTTGTTTTGTCATCTAAGTAGTAAGTATTTGGTGAATTATTGTTGATAGGCTTCGGCGAAGCGCTTCAGGGTGACGGGTAGAGGAAAAATAGTTCGGAGGAGAGCTGGAAAGCAACATTTACTTGTAAAGAAGAATGCCAAGAGGAGAACTCGACTCTCCAAAATGGTGCGTTTTGTATAACTTATCTCCACTTTCAATTGTCTAGTGTTTTGTTATAGAATGATTTTCTTTGTAACATTCAATGTTTGACTCAAGGAGTTTAGGTTTGAATTTAATTTGCGATATTACCATGATTTTAAGGCAAGTGCCTTCGCCCATGAGCGGTAGGTCTCGGGTTCGAGACTTGGGAGCAGCCTCTCCATAAATGGGGGTAAGGCTAGCCGACATTCACCTCTCCCATACCCTGCGTAAAGCGGGAGCCTTGTGCACTGGGTACGACCATGATTTTAAGGGCTCATTCTGAACCCTGATTACTTTTAGAACCAGTTCAAGTGGAACTTGAGCAAGAAATGGTTCCTTCTCACTTATCAACAATTTGTTCGTGAACTTTGAAAAAAGTGGTACATAGTTTGCAATCGCTTTATCATTCGTTCTTGTTCTAGAGAAATAATGATTGTCTTCTCATCCATTACTTGTTATCTTGTCTGTTGTATGCTTCATATGTTCATAGCATTTATCATTATCGGTGTGATTATTTATTTATTTATTTTTTTTTTTAGTTGGCTTGTTTTAAAGCTCAACTTCAAAAGGCAAGGCAATACCCTCAATAGCTTGCAATTTGGAAAGAGTGAACTGTTGAAATTGGGGAAGGAGAAGCTTTGGAGTGAGCTCTTCATGGGAAAAGGGAAAAAATAATGTTTTCTTATGTTACTTGGTTCTTATAAACCCATCTAGCTTGTCGAAATGAACGCATACAGCTCATCTAAATGAACCATAGGTCCATAGCCCACCAATTACCCAGCACTCAATCCACACACCCCCACCATCTAGATGCCCACAGGTTTAGTACTGCTACTCGGTTTCTTATGTTAGTTTGGCTTTTGCTATGTGCAGCATGCAGTTAGTCGAAGTGACTATGACAACGTGATTGGAGCCTTGCCATATCTGAAAGTAAATAGGAAGGCAGAGTAAAGGTGATTTGCAAACTTGATGCGAATGGAATTTCTGACATGTACTCTTTTATTTCTCAAATCTTTGTACAAGAGTTTGATAATTTTTTTTTCTTCAATGATCTTTATTTCCTTGTCTATTGAGGGTGTTGCTGTTACATTTTCAACGTACGGACATATATCATGGAAACACTTATTTTTTATGTAGTTTCCTCTTTTGCAAGATTCTAGAACTTGGGTCTGCTGGAAAATGTAGACAATATGATAACATGCTACGATGCATTTTATTCTATGCACTTCATTTTGGGCAGCCTAGTTGCACGTGAGACGGAGTGTCAGTGTTGTGCTATGAATTGCAAACTTATATTTATTATTGATAGAATAGGTCTATCTTCTTTTATTTATCATTCATCGTACCATGGAAGGATTGGTTTTAGCATTTGTGTGCGGATTGTTTAACTGCTGTTACATCGTGCACTTAGTCTTCCCTGTGCGTTAAACTGGGGTGTGGTAATCCTGTTATAGAGAAGGTGATGAGGTAACAGTATAGTTATGGATAAGTAGATGTCTAGCGGGTTCTCATTTTTTGACTCTTGCCAAGGTGCTTTGGAATCCTGTATCCCCCAGTTTCCTAAATCTTGTGGTTTACTCAGTTACTGATTGAACTGAATTGAAAATGCTAGCTAGGTATGACCTTGGCCTTGGGTTTACTTAATATTTTGGCCTTGCGTTTACTCAGTCAACATTATCAACTCTTCAACCAATTTTAATTTCAGTTTAAGTTCATCTTATCTTGTTGGGGCCAAGTTTTACTTTCCACCTCTACTAAACAATGATTAAAATATTTTGGGCGACCCAATTTGCTAAATTGAAAAGGTATTGACTCAGCATTGTATTGGATGGTTGTTTGCCATTGTATTGGATGATTGTTTGCCATTGTATTGGATGATTGTGAGCTAAAAAATATTGATCAATGAAGTGCATGGTATGGAATTGTAGGGGTCTTAGGAGACCTGATTTTAATAGTAATTTTAGTTTTTTGTGTACTTGGAATAAGCTGGACCTTTTTTACTTGTTTGAAACTAAGATGTCCATAGACAAGGTCCAAAGCAATTTCTACAGTAGGCACTTTGATCAGTTTTTTTTGCTGCAATCCCACTGGCAGAGCTGGTGGGGTTTGTTTGTTCTGGAACTCATCTTCCATTAGCATTACTGTTTTTAGCTCTTCACCTCGTTTTATCCACTGTGTAGTTAAAGATTTGCATAATGATAAGGTGCAATTCATTAACTTTGTTTATGCTTATCCTCATAAACATTTACAAGCTAATCTCTGGGATCAAATTTTAGCGGATAAACCGGCAAACCACCCTTGGTGTTTAATTGGAGACTTCAATAATATTGTGGACTTCACTGAAAAGCTTGGGGGCTGCTTCAATACTACTACCTACATGAATAACTTCAGTAATTTTCTAAATAGGGGCGACTTGATTTCCCATAATTTTGCTATCTTTGGATCGGATCATAGTCCCATCTTACTAATAATGTAAACCCTGTTAGAAAAGGCTCTTGTTCCTTCAAATTTGAAGCTATGTTGTTACGTCATCCTAATTTTAGGAATTTTGTCAAAAGTACTTGGACTTGTACAAATACTTCAAGGCCACAAGAAAATTTTGTTGTTTGTGCAGGGATATTCAAGTATTTGGTAAGGAAGTGGAACAAGGTGACCTTTGGTAATGTCAAAGATGGTAAATATAAGCTTTTAACCTCTCTCTATGATATTCAAAATAAAATTATGAGGGATCAGGATAACTCTATAAGCATGGATGAAGAGGTTAAAATTAGAAGTGAGCTTAACAGAGTTTTACAGTAAGAGGAAATTGTGTGGGCTAAACAAGCCAAGGTTAAGTGGCGTCAATTAGGAGATACAAATACTAAATATTTTCAAATGGTGACTTCTATCCGTAAGAAAGAAATGAAATAAAATATGTTAAAAATAGTAATGGTTTCTGGTGGAATTATGGGGAAGGTCTAGAGCAAGTTTTTGGGCAGGAATTTAAATTGCGTTTTTCTTGTGATAGCTCCCCTTCTCAGGAGACGTTGGCTACAATGGTTGATATCATAACTCCTTGCATTGATCATACGCATAATATGAAACTACTTGAATGTATTTCAAATGAGAAAATTTGGGAAGTGGTGAATAACATTGGTGCTTTGAAAGCACCCGAACCTGATGGTCTTTGTGCTGCTTTTTACCAAGGTTGTTGAGAAGAGGTTAAAGATATTATTATTCCTATGATTAAAGATTTCTTTCAAAATAATTCAAGCCCAAGGTTTATTAATCATACAAGTATTGCCTTAATTCCACAAGTGGATAATCTTGAATCTGTGTCCAATTAAAGACCCATTTGTCTTTGTAATGTTAGTTACAAATTATAACGAAAATTATTATTAAAAGGCTTAAGCCTTTGCTTGACCTATGCATTTTTGCTAATCAAGGTGCCTTTACTCCAGGGCGTTCCATTCACGATAATATCTTAATTGCCCATGTGTTATTTTCCAGCTTCAAGGTAAAAAAAGGTAAGACGGGAACCATGGGTATTAAACTGGACTTGGAAAAAGCCTATGACCTTTTAAATTGGGATTACATAAGGTATGTTCTAATTTGCTTTGCTTTTAATGAGAAATGGATCAACTTAATAATGGAATGCATTACATCAACTTATTTCCCCATTTTAATTAATGGCTCTCTGCATGGTTATTTCTATCCTAAATGTGGCATACGACAGGGTGACCCCATGTCACCTTACATTTTTATTTTATGTATGGAACCGCTTATTAGACATTTTAATCATTTGGCTTCTACCCCTAAATCCCATGGGAAAAATCCTATCGTCCCTAAGGGGATTTAGAATTTCGAACCTAGTTTTTGCAGATGATTGTCTACTTTTTGCCTGAGCTACCCCTAAAGGGGCCATGAATGTCCTTCAAATCCTTGAGATGTTTGCATCGACTGCAGGTTAACAAGTAAATTTTCATAAATCTTCTATTTATTTTTCAAATAATACTATCAACCAGGATATGAACAATATTGTGAATATCTTGAGCATTCAACATAAAACCACTATTGGGAAGTACTTAGGGATTCATAATATAGTTTTCTGGAAGGATTTGGTTAATGAGATATAATTAATTAAACGAGTGAAGCAAAAGCTTGCCGGTTGGAAAGGGCAAACCTTTTCCAAGGTCGGGAGACTAACTCTTATTAATTCTAATCTCACCAAGATGCTGAATCATGTAATGTCTTGCCTTAAGGGCCCCAATAGGGTAACAACTAAAATTGATAAAGAATGCAGAGATTTCTTTTGGGGGAGAAATACTAAACTCAGACCAATGACCTAGAAGAAGGTTTGTTCTCCGAAGAATCAGGGTGGTTTAGGAATCAAACAGATTGATCATTTTAACAATGCTTGTTAGCCAAATTAGGTTGGAAAGTTCTAACCAATAAAGGTAATTGGTGGGCTAAAATAGTCAAAAGTAAATACTTATATAAGTCCAATTTTTTAAATTCGAAGATTAAACAAAACTACTTGCTTGGAAAGGCATTCTTTCTAATGATAACATCATCCATGAGGGAATGAGATGGATTGTGGGTAATGGTGGACATATTCTTCTAGACCCATCAATGGGTTTTTCCTTACCCCTGTTTTCATCTAATTCCCGTGAATGATAGAAATAATATTGATTGGAATCTTAAAGTAAGCAACTTTATAGTTCATAATAGTTGGGATAGCATTAAATGAGCTACTATAGTTGATGGTGACATCACTAGAAAAATTTGTCATATCCCCCTCCCTTTACAAGAGTCGAAGGACAAGTTAATTTGGGGTTTAACCAATAATGGGAACTTTTCTATTAAGTCTACTACCTGACTACAAAATCGGAACAATCACTCTAGTAATCACCTTACTTTGTTAAAGAACATGTGGAAGCTAACTATTCCTCCTAAGGTTAAAATGTTTGATTGGCTTATGATTCAGGAAAGATTGCAAACAAGAAAACGCTTAAGTTGTTTTGTTAAAAATATTGATAAGTTATGTTCGTTATGTAATACAGCTGAAAAAGACCAATCTCTTTTGTAATTGTGATTTTGCTACTAAAGTTTGTAGCTCAACTTTTGGTATTTGTAATAATGGTAACATTATTACTAATGATAAGTTTTTTGATTGACCGGAATCCTTAAGTTCTAATGACAAAGATGACATTTCTAATCTTAGTAAAGTAATTATGAACTACCGATAAATCTGGACGGAAAGAAATAACTTGGTGTTCAGAAGTATGCCGGTCCCGGCGCGTTGTGTTTCTATCGCCGGTAGCGTTGGTCAGGCTTTTCTCAAGGCTAAGGGGAAGTGTGACCCCAAGGAGACTTTACCTATCTCTTCCCTTATTAAATGGCATCCTCTTGACCAGCACGATGTGGTTAAACTCAATTTTGATGGTCAGTTTCGAACAACCGTGCTGATGCTGCCTTTGTGCTCCGTAACAGTAATTCACAAGTGATTGGGATGGGGGTTCTTAATCTTGATGGCGCTACTATTTCTGTAGCAAAAGCGATGGGTTTGCGAGAAGGGCTCCAGTGTGCTAGGCACAAGGTTTCAGTAAAGTGATGGTGGAGGGGGACTCTAAGCTCATCATTGAAGTTGTGCAAGGTCATTGGGGAGATCCTTGGAGAGTCAGCTCTATCATCAATGATATTCCTGTCCTGGCTTGGTCTTTTAGTCATATTGATTGGAAGCACATTTTCAAGGAGGCAAACTTTGTTACGGATGCTTTAGCTCACCTTGGTCTCTCCCTCTCGAATCCTCATTTTTGGGATTTCTGTTTACCTGATGTTGCTCTTCCAGCCTTTAATTTTGATTGGATTGGAAATGGTTGTACTAGAGGTTTCATGCTTAATCCTTGCAAACAAGAGAAAATGGCGCCATGAAACATGTGATAACCATCATGATTGATGCTTAATCCTTGTATATACCACATTATTATTGAACGGATGGTTAAGGTTTTAACAAGAATGATAAACCAACTGGCAACGCACTACGCAAGAACATCCTCCAAATTCAATTCAATCCAATCAAATTAATCTATTTAGTGACATGCATAAGCTTCATCACCACCACCTGCGAGCGTTACTAAGTCCAGCAAATTTTTATCCCTGCTAATCACAATAATCTAATATAAATAGCTACTTAAAATGGTAGACTAACACACCTCTTTACGTCCAACTTCTTTTAACCAAATTATAAGATGGAGAAC